CAGGGCATGCAGGACGGGCTTAACAAGCTGATGTCCTTGCTTGGCCCTGAGGGCGTGCCACGCCTTGCTGCGCAAGGCCCCCGAGGCAATCGATGCGCATCTAAAGGCGATTTCAAATTACGAAAACGTGCTGCTAGAGCACTTGCAGCAGAAGATGTCTGCATCATTTGCGTCTATGATGCCACCTTCAGTGACGGATGACTTCCCCCGCCATAAGCCGCTCATGGTGAGCGTTAAGGTCTTCGAGGGGAGGATGGAGAAAATCTCCTGCTCTGGGTGAGAGAGGTCGAGATGGCCATCGCATCCGCCATGCTCGAGATCGAGCAACAGCGCGTGGCGCTAGCAATCTCAAAGCTCGGCGATCGAGCGCGAAAACGGGCACCGACGTGTGGCACTTGGGTCTAAGCTGCGTTTTCCTCCTGGGCGGAGCTGAAATTGCAGCTCTCACGAGTGTTCGCGCCGCCGAACCAGGCATATCGCGTGCGAGCGTGTTTCCTCCCCGCTCGACAGGACAACAAGGAATTGGTGGACTTTGTCCAAGAGATGCGTACTCTAATTGCCGGAATGGCAACAGATCCCCTTCCTGAGGCGGTCACAGTGGCCATCTATATGGAAGGCCTCCACACTGGCGTGGCCAGACTGGAAGTCTTCCGTGTGCATCCAATCTTATTTGAATAGGCGGTGAATGTGGCATTGAATGCCGAATTCAATGCCAAGTTGGTTGGAATGCATAGCCCCGAGCTGCTGAGCAGCCGACAAACATACGACGATGTTTTTTTTCTGTGGAGGCACCCGTCACCTTCGAAACGTTTACGCCCGGCGCAAGGCGCGTCAAGGCTCTTCGAAGCATCGCCCCAATACCTACCAGTCTGGTTCGTAGCGGGAACCCAAGACCACCCAGTAGGCGCGGGGCGACCTACTGGGAAAGAACTGAGCTCTGTTGAGCCTCAGGGAGGCATAGGTCAACAGGGCCCAGCCCCAAAGAGCTTTGTGCTCTGAACACGGAACGCGTATGCAAGCCGGGCTTGCTGGTCGTGGAGGCGACCGTAAAGTGCTTCGAGAAGCCATGGAAGATCTTTATCGATTTCGGGGCGTCGGGCAATTATGCTTGACGCTCCACGATGGAAGGATGTCAGCTGTATGCTGAGGCGTTAAAAGCGCGGTTGGGTGACATTGTCAATGTTCTCCTAGCGACGGGGACACGTTTCACGGTTCCGAAGGTCCCTGCCGACCTCGGAGTCAAGTTCCTTGATG